ACTGCCTTTACTATGATAAGCACCACAATAGCCTTTTTACCGGACATTGCTGATTTGACCAGCAAGATTTTCTAAACCCCAGTAATGCAAACATCATCTCGCCATGTAACATAAAGCAACTGAGCCAACCTTAAGAAACTTTGGTTTTTAATGAGTAGGTTCTAGTACTAAAATAATCCTCTGCTGACTCACCCACATCTGACATTGATGTAAAAATAAGAACAGTACCTGTTTCTGATGACAGCATTAGGCGTGGGAGATGCTATAAGATATCTGAGGTCCGTTTAGCAAGAGTCACTGTGATATGAAACCCGCTGCTTCATATGATATAAAAGCCATGCCTGGCTTTTCCTAAAGACAAAAGAACAACTTTTAATACTACCCAAATCATATAAATCTATCCAAATATGCATCACGTGGGAAGCCGGAATATCCAGTCCAAAGATCAAAATCCAGACATTGAGAGAAACAAGTAATCAATGTCACTGTGTTCTTCCAAATGCACTAAATGACAATGTTTCCACTTTTTAATATTCTGGCATTTAGAATATTAATTAAAATGATTAACATGGATAAATAATAGCAACATAATTTATTGTTAAATTTGGGCACTGTTGAGAAGAGATGCTATTAATAATTATACCAGTACACCAGGTGTAAATTGACTGTCCCAGAAAATCAGGACATATGGTCACCCTAATAATAGAAGATCGGAATGCTTTTTTTCCTCCACATCTATTTGCTCTGGATAATTTAAAGGCTCATAAGTAAATAACTGAATAAGTGAATCAAAGTGCAATGTTTGGGAGTAGTAATATAGAAACATGATTTCTGGGAAAGAATAAACAGAATTTGGAAACCAAGAATATAACAGGGATAAGAGTTAAAGAGCAGAAACATCAAAGACAACTCAATCAGTTAGGATGCTTTCACTGAACATAACAGAAAACCTGCATACAGTGGCTGAAACGGACATGGATGGCTTCTCACATAAGTCTGGGGGCAGGTGGCTGCTAGCATCGGCTTAGTCTTTAGAGGTTCAATTATATCAGAGCCAAAGTTTCTGATATTCTAATGGCCTTTCCTTCATGGTCACTGGATAGTTTCTGCCCTGAAGTTATATCTATCTAACAGGAAGAAAGAAGAAAGACAAATAGAATTGTTTTCTGAAATCCTCATACATGCATTATATGCTTGATTCATAGATCTCTGTTACACAGCTACAGTTGACTGAAAAATGCGCAGGGACAAGGGATTTGGGAATTGGGATTATATTAGTGAAACAATGCTGTACATACCACATGATGTTAAGGTTTCATATCAGTACTATGTCGGGAGTGGCAATGCCTTTACTAAGCATAAGGCAGAGGAATCTTATTTTCCTTAAGAAAATTATAAGAGATGTTTTTTGGTTTGGGATTTTTTAAAATTTATTTTTTATAATCAGTTTGATATAAAGGAGAGACATTTAAATTTTCCCATGAGGAGTTGGATATACGAGTATGTAACTAGACATCTCTGGGAGGATTACAAACTAAAAATTCAAAGCTGGGAATCACAAGAATTAAATCACGGTAAAGTAATTTCACAGAAGACAAAAATATATAGAGTGATAACAGGAATGGAAAAGTTTTCAGCATTTAGAGAATACTTACACTGAGGGGTTTAGATAAGCAAAAAATGCTTACCTTGTAAAAATGTTGTTATGTTTTGTTTTTGTTTGTTTTTATAGTTCTAGAAGTCTCTGTTATTAAGGTTAGTTTAGCTTTACTGAAGATATATTAATTACAACTACATAGTAAAATACCCAAATTATGCAGGTACCATAGTGAACTCAAAGGTTTACTAATTTTTTTTAATATTGTGCAACTATAAATAAGAAGCCATTACCCCTTACAAGTGCAGACACAATAATTAGCATCATAACTAGGTAGAGGAAAATATTGGAAAATCAATTTTTTTCAACTTTCTAATAGGACAACTGGTATGGCTCTACTGTCTGCACATTTTCCTAAGAAATCAATATTAAGGAGATATTAATAACACACACACACACACTCATACACACATTGATTTATACTTACCTTGGCAATTAAAATATTGGGTAATTTTTCTATGTGACTTTTTAATGTTAAACTGCCATCATTTATTTAAATTATGTGCATATGATATTTGTTGCTTCTCTTCTATTTATTGTGTGGTTTGTGTCTAATACTAAGTATAATCACCTATACCAGGAATAAGCAAACAATGGCTGTGGTCTAAATCTGGCTTGCAGGCCCCCCCCCCCACTTAAATAAAGGCTTATTGCAACACAGCTATACTCATTCTATTAGGCATTGCCTATAGCTGCTTTTTTTTAACATGGCCGAAATGAGTAGTTGTGACTGATATTATATGGCTCACAAAGCCAAAAATATTTATTATCAGGCTTTTTACAGAAAAAGTTTGTCAACCTCAATCTAAGGAAATCGGGTAAAATGTTAATGTCTATGTGTTTTTTAAATGTACATTCTGTCATTGAGAAATAGGCAAAATAATTTTGTAGTGAATCTGGAACTAATGGAAGGAAACTTTATTGAGTATTTCATTTAGTCCTCAAAATCTATATGATAGGCATTATTACCCTCATTTTGCTGTTTAAAGAAGAGTATTAGAATTGTTAAAGCAAACAAATCTTGTTAACCAATATATATACAATTAGTAAGTGTAAGAACTGAAATTCAGGCTGGGGTTATTTTATATTTATTTTATGTTTTTATTTGTTTGTTTTCAGTTGAGCTCATTCAACTATATAATTCAGTTCAATAGCTTTTCCAAATAAAAATAGACTGGTTTATAGAGAATTATTTTTTCCTGTTATTCTTAAAGCTACTGATTTAACTAGAAAAGCCCTACTGAGTGAGATAATAAAATTCCAACATCAACCAGCATATTTACACATCTTTCTTCTAACTCTTGTCTTATGTATTAAACTTAGGCAAATATTTTGTTTAATTTATATTATTCATTTAAATATTCCAGTATATTTTATTCTTTCCTGAATCCTTCTTCTCTTCTGTTTTCTTGTATGCTCCCCTGGGAGCTCTGAACCGCTACACTAGATTAAACTATTGCCTAAATGCTGATAAATAACCTTCATATTCCTATGTACAGCTGTGAATTCTTTTCTGAATTAGAAGATGATATATCCAAATTCTTAGTGGTATGTCCATTAGAAGCCCTGCAGGTAACAAATCTAGTATATTCAGAATGAAACACATTATCTTTCATGACCCTCCAAAGGATTTAGGTCCATGGGCTAAATCAAGACAATGATGGTGGAACTTGCATGGAATTCTGGGCAGGGGTGTAAACACTACCTGAACAGCTTCTGCCTTGGATGGTGGCCCAGATATGAAGAAGATGCATTTTTAAATTTGTCTTTGAAAGCCTAGAATTTGAGTTTCCCAACCATTTTTTGGTGTATTTTAAATTTGTATCAACACAATAAAAATATTTGAATACCAATACAAAATTATAATAAATGATTAAAGATATAATTTCCACTTCTAATTTTCTATAGGAATGTCAGTATTACTTATTGCTTGAAAAGTTATTAGACACCTGAAAATAATATAATACTGCATGTCAACTGTAATTGAAAAATAAAAATGATTTTAAAATAATAGATATGTTTAAATCCATAAGTTTGTATGAAATAAAGAACTTGTAGTCATCTGTAAAAATAAAAAAAGAAGGAAAGAAAAGTCATTAAATTCAATAGGGATACAATAAGAAATGGACAACTTTATATAAAATGAAATACCTGTGATATTCTCTAAAGACAAATTATATTTCTAAACAGGTCATTTTCTTTTCTAAAATGTATTATATATGATAGATGGAATGAGACCTACATTAATATACAACATATTTTTTCAGCATGGACATAAAATGATTTTTATTCTACTCAGAGCTACCAATTTTAAGAGATTTGAAAATAAAGACCTAAAGCATAGTTTGATAGATAGATGAATAGATAGATAGATAGATAGATATTTGATTGCAAGTTTTGTTTGAATTACATTATTAAAATGATTATCACAGTATAAAATTTTGCATGTGATGTAAACTCTAATCAAGGGAAAACTATACTGGAAAGAATAGTGTATTTAACAAAAGCAATCTTGGAAATTACTTGAAAGTTGGCATTTTATTCCCTAGTAGCCTCTCTTTTTCCCTGCATGAACACACTATCTTGCTCATGGAAATCTCACTTTTCAGTATTTAATGCATCAACATAGTACTGGGCATCCCACCAACACTTAATTTAATGTAACCTAGTAGTAAAACAATCTAGTATAATGTGCTCAAGATTCATTTTATAAAAGTTATGAGACTACCCAACTTATTTTTAATCAGATTTTTATGCCTTAGGGGAAAGAGTGAATCTCAGTTTCTACTTAGCCTATACTAGTTTGACATTGTTAAATTTCACTTAAATTTTACCTTGCATTTGTCTATATAAGATGCAAATCTTTGAAAGATGCCTGTTTTCAGGAAGTTAAACTGGTTTTCATATTATATGACATTATGTAAGACATTGTTATTTATATACATGTATTGTCTTAATTGTGCTGAAATGTGTGGCTATAAAATTAGGCCAACATTTTTATTGTCTCTATATCTTTGTTTTCATTTACCCATAGAATGTGTTTTAGTGTAAATGTGCCCCATCATACTATCCCCAATGAATTCATGTAGGGATATTAAAATGTAATTACTATATTAGTCTAAAGTTATTTTTGCACCCCTTCTTAACACAAGTGACCTTTTAAGTTAGATTACAATTAATCTTTTTCCTCCTTAATCCTTAATCACTTTTAAATTGTCTTAATAGTGAAACATTCTTAATCATTTTTAAATACCTTTAAGCATTCTTAATCATACTATTTTTTTTTTGCCAGAAAAGAATTTTAATGTAAAGTAGAAAGGACTAATCCACCTTGTCACTTTCCTTACCCTTGCTGTGTAGACTCCTCCCTCCTGCGACTTTGAGAATTTGGGAGGAGCAGGCCCTGTTTTGGAGGGGTTGTCCATATGGGAAAAAGTCTCCCATGTTGGGAGTTTGCTCCCAGATCTGGAAAAATACTAGTGTCCTTCAGATCTGGGAGCAGATGTGAAACAATAAAATAATTTATATGTGGTCCATCGCCTCTACAGATCCCATCGCCTTCCTCCTTATAGTCATATAAACCTGTATCATCCTCGGACTTATGGGGACCAAAGGTTGCTTTTAAAGAACTTTCCCCTGAGGGGCATCCTTTGCTGGCATTCACGTTGATATTCTTCAGGAAGATGAGGATGATGCTATCTTTCTCTCCATTGGCTGTGGAGCAGCTTTCAGATAGCCCTGAACTCCCAGGTTTCTGGGGATCTTCAGCTCACCATTCTTCCAAAACTTAAACCTTAGACTGACCACACTGACGAGGATGGTCACCACAGCCACCAAGATGACAGTGAAGTTGAAGACACCAAATGCAGCCACAGTGAGTACCATCTGATGTAAGGCTGGGAAGGAAGGTTGAATCTTCTCTTGTCCTCGGGCTGATGGTGGCTGGTTTGGGAGTAACATTTTGAGAGGTGTCATGCCCTGATGTTGCTGTTGTGGCTGGGGCTGAGCGAGGCCCAGCAAGGCAGGGTGTGGCCATCCCTGGTGTGTGAGCTTGGCGTCACGGGTTTACTGGCTGCTGTGGGAACCTGTGATACCGTCTCTGGAGCAGCTGGGGTACCGGTGCTGGACAGAAGGTTTGGGCTACTTGGCTCTGAAGAAGGTCTGACTCCTGTGTTAGAAGTTGGCTCTGTGGTCAGACTTAGGCTGAGGGCTCCTTGAGGGCTACAGGGCTGTGTTGTAGGCTGGGAGTTGTAGCGTGTCAGTAGGAGGAAATAGGGTCACCCAACACAGCTGCGAGCTCCAACAGTCCGCATGTCGGCTGGGTCTGTGACGGGCAGACAGCTGCTCCCTGAAGGCACTGTCCATAGTGGAAAAGAGACAGGGGGTTCTAGGGTGGGAGGGGGTGGGGTCTGCCCCTCTCTTCCCGTATGAAGGGTCCATCAGGTTCCTCCACAGATTTCCCTGGAGGTTCATCCGAAACATTCTTAATCATTTTCTGAGTTCAGGGATTCTAAGAAACAGTGCTTATCATAATAACTATATCTGATCTTGCTATTTTAGTGTCTAATAATTTCATGTCTATAATTCTGTTATTCCCTTTCTATGCAAGATAGCAACTGATATGTTCCATGTCTATGAAAATCAACATTACATTCAAACAGCAGATTGTCCACTTCATATGTTGAAGCCTAATGTCCAGTACCCTAGCATGTGACTGAATTTGGAGAGAAGGCTGTTAAAGAGACAATGAAGATTAAATGAGGTCATAAGGATTGAACCATATTCCAATATGACTGGTATCCTCATCAGAAGAGGGAGAGACACCCTGGAATTGCGTACACAAAGGAAAGGCCATGTGAGGATGTAGAGCGAAGGTCAGCTCTGACAACGAAGGAGTGAGGCCTCCGGATAACACCATAGCTGCTGCCACCTTGACCTTGGCTTTCTCCAGAACTACGAGAAATAATTTTTTATTGTTTAAGCCACCTAGACTGATGTTTTGTGTGGCATCCCTAGCACAATAATATGCTCACAAACCCACACTGTTTTTCAAATATAAGTATAAAATAAAGGCTATGTGACGTAACAAGAAAATAAAGAACAACAAATATAAATGCATTCACAAATCTAAATGGCGATCAAGTCAATAAAACAATCACTTATTGTCTGTTTAAAGAATGTGTAGTATTAAAAGACATGACAAAGATAACATAGATAGTAGGAGGGAATTTTAAAAAGTTAATATATTCGAAGGACCTTGCTTTATATAGAAAAGGGTTGAGATACGTTTTTTTTTAATTGAGGTATAATTGACATTATATTAGTTTCAGGTGTATAATGTAATGATTTGATATTTGCATATATTACAAAACAATTATCACAATGAATCTAATGTCTGGCACCATACATAGTTACAATGTTTTTTCTCATGATGAAGACTTCTAAGACCTATTTTTTTTAGCAACTTTCAAATATGCAATACAGTATTAACGGCAGTCCCCATGACTTTCTTCTTTTATAACTGGAAATTTGTACATTTTGACCCCTTCTACTAATTTTGTCAACTCCTCACCCCTCCACCTCTGGCAATCATGCATACTGCTTTCATATCCTACTAAATAAATTTTACTTTATCCAAAGGATAAAATACAGGTGGATTTTAAGCTGGAGAGTGATGTGTCTGTTTCAATAAAATACTGACTGCAATGTATTTTTTTCTTCTTTCTTTAGAATGGCGGTGTATGGAAGAAAAGACTGGAAACAGGAAGATTGTGTCTATACTCTAAGGCATGGGATGATGGTAAGTTCCATTTCGCGTGGTGGCAATGCAATGAAGAATCAATTAATAGACTTAGGAGACATTTTTTATTTACATTTAGAAAGAAATAGGTTATTAGGATGTGATTTCTGAGGGGAAGAACAGAGGGACTGCCAGTTCTGCTTATAGTTTTCCAGTTTCAGCAACTGGAAGAATTTTGACTACATTTAGTAAGTAAGAAATGACATACAGAAGACTTTGGGTATGTGATCATTTATCATAGATTTACTTAGGATATCCAGTGTCTACTTATGACAATAGATATATCCACCCAAACTATGAGTCCAATGTAACTGACCCTTGATATGGAAGACTAACTTTATTATAATGTTTCAATAATTCTGTTGTTTTATACTTTTTGTTATTATTTCCACCTGTTAATAAATCTTCCCTGTGAGGAATTCACTTTATTTAACAGAAAATATATTTGCAGAATATATCAAACCCTTGTTATATCCAATGCCATACTTTGTTATCAAAAGTCTCCTGGTGTTTTCAGACTGAGCTATATGTTCCTTGCAGTGAGTTTCTTAACTATTCCTGGCAAGTCCTCAGAAGCTTAAGGGGGTAGTCTTTGTCTAAGTACAAACTTTTACTGAAATATGCATACCCAAAAGTACAGAAATCTAAAGTGTACTAAATAAATTGTGTTGTGGAAAAGTGAGAGAGAATGAGGCAGTAGCAATATGGGAAAGGAAAACTGAGTGTGTTGTATTCTTAAGTAGCAGAATGTTGTACTCGTTTGTAAACAAGGGTCTGCACAGAGATTTAATAAAATACAGGAACTAAAGAAACAAAGAGTTCAGGAATTGGTGTCCTTTCAGAGGGAGTGTCCATTAACGTCAGCTGTGGAGATGTTGTTCAAGCAAGACTGTTGATTGGTTGACAGTGTATTTTCTGTAGTGAGGCTTTAACTGATTGGCTCACTTTCAAAAGTATGGGGCTATCACTGAGAAGTTGATTTTTGGAAATGAGTTATTGATTCAAAGCATCCATTAATTAAACTGAGGCTAGTCACCAATCAATTCAAAAACTTTAAAACACAATCTGGTGTTTACTTGTTATGGCTACAAAGTAAGCATTCTTTTCCTGAAACATGAGAATTAAAAAAAATGTTTAATATGACATATAAAAAGCAATACCTATGTAATGTATACAACTCGATGAATTTGTCAATAAGTATACATCTATGAAACCATCACCACCATTGAAGCCACAGTTGGTATCTCATTGTTTCAATTTGCACTTACTTGATATCTAATGAGTTTGAGTATGAATGTTGACTATTTTCACATTTTCTATATGCATTTGAATTCATGCATATTTTTCTGTTCGGTTGTGTCTTATTTTTAACATTTAGAAGTTAATTTAGATTATGGATATGAGCTTTTTATTAGAAATAAATGTTGAAAACACTTCCACAATATGGTTTGCCTTTTACCCTCCTAATGAAATCTTTTGACATAACAGAGATCCTTACATTGAGTGTAATCCCATTAATCAAATTTTTAATAATTTTTTTCAGGTTAAACTATCTTTTCCTATCCTTATACCATGAACACATTTTCCTATTATCTTCTCAAAGCCCTATGAATTTTAGCTTTTATGTTTTATTATACAATCTACCTGGAATTTTTTTTAATGGGGGAGGGGGTTGATATGATGGTATGAGATAGACTGAAGTTTATTTTATATTTTCTCTCTTTCTTTCTTTCTTTCTTTCTTTCAAATAATGTACCATATGTTGGGAATATTTTCCTTTCATAGTGAACTTGGTTGCCTGTTTTTATACCCTTTGTATCATCATATCACCTAATTCCTGTACTTTTATAATAACTCTAGATAGCTACTTGAGTATTTTCTCTCAACTTGTTCTTCCAGATTGTATTGGCTATTCTTGTTGCTTTGAATTTTCATATAACTTTTTAAATTACCAATTCAATTTCCATCAAAAATTACCTTTGTGATTTGCATTCATTTTGAAGATTGACTTGGGAGAAATTTAAAAGCAAAGTCTTTGTGTCAATGGCTAAAACCAAGTCCATTCATTTAAATAGATTTTCTTAATTTAGGCTAAATAATAATTCGTGTAATGCTGCATATCTTTTTTATATCTCAGCATTTACTTTTTAGATTCTGTACATGTTAAGTTTAATTTTGTCTTTATAAATATACATGGACATGTATATTCATTGACTTTGTATCCACCTGCCTTGCAATTTTTACTTAGGATTTTTTATCATTTCTCTGTAGATACTGCTGGATTTTTTTCATGCCTAAATTACATGTTCTGCAATTAACAGTGATGTTATTTCTACCTATTCAAACTTTACAAGTTAGATGTTGATAGATAGATGATAGATAGATAGATAGATACATACATACATACATACATACATACATACATAGATGATAGAGACATAGATAGATATTGAGATACGGATTTATTTGCTTGTTTTACTTATTTTATTGTAATACTGGCTGGCTTCTCCAAGACAATATTGAAGAACATATTGATAGACATTAAGCTTACATTATATTTCTTTGAATTTTATTAATCATATCTGAAAAAACATGAATGACTCATAAGACTTCATCTGATTTGTTTTGTTTTTTGTTTTGTTTTTAATTTTGTTTTGTTTTATTGTCTGTTGGTTTTTGGCTGCATTTTTCTTCCTTGTGTATGTAAATATATATGATGATGTGTTCAGCATTGCACATATACAAGGACAACCTTTGCTTCCCTCAGTCATGTAACAGGTAACAGGAATTGGAGACTGAGATGATCAAAGCTTGATTTTTGTATTATGAAGGCTATTTTTAGAACATGTTACTCTATGTTACAGCTGTTTTGGGTTCTAACCAAAAGCCTGGGGATTTTTCACTGGTCTCTTCATCTTAGCCCTTGCTGATATCCTTACCACTCCCTCCACCCCGCTTTAGATGCATTAACCATGGAAAGCTCTGCTAAGCTTCTCAGTCTCCTTGCTCAGTCTTATTAATCCTTTATGTTATCAAATATCTTACTGTTAATATAGACATAATATGGAGAGCCACTCTTCTGTGTCCATTACACTAGTACATAACAGGGTAAACAATTTAATTATTATGATTATAACAAAATTTAAAAGCTTTAAATTTATATATGAAACAAAAATATCACTATGGGTTTATATAGCAAGTACACATGTGTGCATGCAAATATAGCTAATAAAATAAAAAGCAAGATGGATATAATAACACTTTCTTAAAAATGAAAGACAAATAAGAAACTATGACTTCATTGAAATCAGTAAAAAGCTAATAATATTAGTTCATTTTCATTTGTCATTTAAACAAGAATGCTTACGTTTCTTTGAAATGGACCTGTCATCTTTCTTTGTTATCTCTTATTTTTCAATGTATTTTATTACTTATTTTTTCATTCAAATTAGGTTTAACAGCACAAGTATTTTCCAATTTTAAATTATAATTATTTTTGTTCATTGATACAATGAGTCAGTAGCTGCAAGTATTCCTGGAATGCTTTTGCTAGTCCATGTATTAT